TTTTATTTTATGCAGAAATGTAATTCAACTAATACATTTTTTTGTGTATTTTAACTTTATTATGAACTATATTTAAAAAAATCAAATCCATCAGTCCAATTTGTGCCAGTTTGTCCAATCGAATCCATCAGCCAATCATCTTTGCGCAAGAACAGTTAGTCTTATCATGCATTAAAGTTGATTCAGGTTTAAATGACTCATTCTCCTGTGCTATGCTGTGCGTCTGTAGGTGATGTCCAGAGGACATTTAGTTCGGCAAGGACGTCTCTCGGTGCCCATCAACCCAAAACGAGGTTTGTAATCAATCCATAAACAAACTCCCCGCAACATGCAAAATGTGTATTTTGTAACAATAAGTGCTGTAGAACTTTGCTTCAATATTAGCTACGTAGCTGTCATTCTTATTGCGATATGTTTTTACATTTTTAAACTTTTTTACATGATGATGTGCCAGTGATCAATGCTCAACTCTGAAAATTGATCTGTTTTGTAATAGAGATCAGTGGCAGAGTGTTTCTGTCACTGCAGAACGTGGACAAGTTATCCCCAGTCGCTCAGGTGGTCCTGTACACGCTCCTTTCCAATGGTGAGGCCGTGGCAGACAGCATGAACTTCCCCGTTCAACCATGTTTGACTAACAAGGTCAGAAATTCAGTCAAGTTGTATTATTAAGTTACCGACAATGTTTTTTATTATTGTTTTTATTTTGTTGTTGTTGCAGCCCTAGTAGTTATCTTTACCCAGAGATGGAAAGTAGTGTTACTACATTTAAATATCACTTTAAAGTATTTGTATGAACCACTAAGTGATGCCACGTTGGTGGCCAATGCACTTAAACTCTGAATATTTAGCTGGTTTGTAACAGAGATGAGGGGCAGACTATCAGGGGCAGTTTCCATCACAGACGTTCAATCAGTTTGTCACATTATCGCTGCCCATAAACCTTTTATAGCTGCTTTTTATACTAGAAGTCTTACTTTTTGCATCATTCAAGATTCCTATTTTACTGGGCACATCATGTGCAACATCTGAAGATGCAAAATACTCCCATGGCTCAATATCATCTTTGGCTGCATCTTTACAATCAGAATCAGAATCAGAATTACCTTTATTGCCAAGTACTGTAGGTTTACATGTACAAGGAATTTGTCTTGGTGTACTGGTGCTTAGTACAGTAAGAGTAAAATACAAGAAATAAAAATAATATTAATAATGTAAACAAAATATAGAAATATAAAAATTTAGGAAAATAAAATAAAAATAGAGATAGAGACGAAAATAGCTCATTCTTTTTGGGAAAATTGTTCAATCTCAGACATATCGTATGGAGACCCTTGGGGAAAAGCAAATTTTCAAGTCTTGCTATTCAGATTCTCGGTTTTGAACCACTCCTTCAGTGTAGCTTTTGCAGTATGCTCGGCTTTATTGTCTTCTATAGGTTTTCTTCTAGGATTGCTAAATATTTGTCTCCATCCATCCTGCTCTCAGCCCTGACCAGTTTCGCATTCCCTGCTGATGAAACACGTCACAACATGATGCTACCACCACCATGCTTCACGCCATGTTTAGGGTGATGAGAAGTGTTGGGTTTCCACCAAATGCAGCACCTGATAGATGTTGATTTTATTCCTCTCATTTATTTTTCATGACCAGCCATGACCAGTTGTCTAAAAAATATTATATTTAACATTTACCTTGACAGTACCTTCAGACAAACTGTTCTTCTTGGTCTAACCAGAGTTTTTCTTTATTTTCTTTCTTTCTTTTTGTCATGATTTTTCAGGTGTCTCTGAATTTCACGTCTCCTTCTGAGCTTCCTGGTGATGAGACAACACTGACCCTGAAAGCTGCTAAAGGCTCGCTGTGTTCAGTGAGAGCCATTGATAAGAGTCTGCTGCTGTTGCAACCAGAGAAAGAATTCACCATCGAATCTGTGAGTTCAGACTTACAAAATGTCCATCATTTCAGTCATTCAGCTTGTTTTGAATCTGTAATTGTGAGGGTCTGTAAGTTCAAGGCCCAGAACTGTTCCAGATCAGAGTTAAAACTAAAGTAAAGCTAGAAGAACCTTGCTCCGTTTTTAATAAGACAATAATGACCAATTTAAATGTGTTTTTGGTCTTTGCTTTGTAACTCATAATTCATTTTCTGAAGAACTGAAAATTAGAATTTGATTATTTAGATTAGATTATTTTCCATACAGTTAAGTTAAAAAAGCACATGTTTTTACATCATTTTTTGAAAAAGAAAACAGCAAAACAAAAAAATCCCTAATAATATAATAATTAACAACTATAAAATTGATACTGATTAATAGTATATTTAAAACTTTATACCTTAAATGTGAGGTGAATTTTGATATCAGTGTCGCTGAGTAACAGATTCAAGTTTCAAGTTTCTAAATCTTTTGGTATTTATTTAATAAACACAATTTTACAGATGTGTGTGATTTTTTTAACCTGATTTTTTAAATTTAAATACATTTTTTAAACTTACATATTTTTAATACGTGCCCTGTTGGTAATTATAACAATTATATAGTTATATAGTAATTTTAATAATTATGTAGTTATATATTATATAGATTTTTGAACACTAACGTAGTGTTTAAAAGGTATCACAATGCCACACATAATGAGGAATAATGTCATGCTGTTATTCCAGGTGTTCAACATGCTGCCTGTACAGATGTTATCAGGATATCCATACATGACCTATGATGAGGAACCGTACCCATGTTGGGGATACCCACCTATCTTCATCAGAAAACCAGTGGAAAGATCGATTCGTTATTTTCCTTACTACGGAAAAGTCGACGTGTACAACATCTTTAAAGTAAGACTTTGTCATTGGATCTCTTATCCTTCGTGATTAGACATGTAACGATATTCAGTTATAAAATATATCATATTATACAACAACACTGTTGAACTGTGGACTCTGACTGGTCAGAAGGTGTTGATTAATTTTCTATAACAGCAGCTCTGACCGCTAACTTGTTTTGTGGACATTCCACAACATTAAATATAACTCTAAGCGGATAAAAAGTGAGTGTAAGTGGGCATTGTTGTTTAATAAATGAAAAAAATTCTAACTGCTGGCAAATGTCTTGAAAAACATTTTAATATTAACTCCACTTTATCACTCCACCCTGTTGCTGATGAGTTTCCAACAAGGAGTCATTTACGCCTGACATATTCACCACTCACAGTATGTTTATGAGGCAGATAAAGAACAGGCAGTATTGCATGGTCTTCTTTTCTTTTGGGAGATGGCAATCTGATAATTCTGTTCCTCTTGTATCTATATATTGTAAGAAGTAATGCTAATGTTTTTGGAAGTTTACCTTGTGTGACTACTTGTTGTGATACTATTTTGTGTTTCCTCTCAGGATGTTGGAATCAAGATCCTGACCAATGCTGATATCAGAAACACTTCTGTGTGCTCTGAGGCTTTGCCGTTTTTGAGGAGTGAGTGGGTTTTTTTGGTCACTTTTTCATTTGGCATTAATACATGTACAGTATTTTATATTGTTATATACTGTAGCTTAGAAATCATTTTCCCATCCACAGCTGAAGGCATGGGAGAACCGTCTCTCTTAGCCAAAGAAGGTGTTTTAGATGCCACCCTTCCAATCCAACCAGTTGTCACCATCCGCAAATATTTCCCAGAGACATGGATTTGGGATCTTGTTTCAGTCAGGTGTGTACTGAATGTTGGAACCACGTTTTTGTGGTTACTGGTTTGCGTTACTGAGTCATTGTTATTTTCTGTACAGTCAGTCTGGAGTGGCAGCCCTTAATAAAACAGTCCCGGACTCCATCACTACATGGCAGGCTGATGCGTTTTGTACGTCACCTGTCGGGTTCGGAGTCGCCCCGAAAACCGAGCTCACTGCCTTCCAGCCTTTCTTTGTGAGCCTCACCATGCCGAGCTCCGTCATCCGAGGAGAAAGGTTCACACTGAAGGCCACCGTCTTCAACTACCTCAAAAGCTGTATGATGGTGAGCTGAATCATTTCATTTAATCATATTTACTCAAACATCATTTCTCATGTATGTGTACTATGGCAGCATAGCATTAATAGAACACAATGTTCAGATGGATTTCAATTTCCTACAAGGACTCACACAGTGTTGCCCACTTAGTGACTCTGTCAGTAGATTTGGGGATGTTTCTGACTCCTTTAGCAACTACATTTTAAAAAAGAGCTGAGCAACAAATCTAGCAACTTTTTGAGCAGACTGTCCTCGACCTGCTACAGCTCTCCAGCTCACATCACAGCTGCTGGTTATACATCTCATCACCAATGTGTAAAGCCTGACTGATTCCCAACAACCAATCACTGAACAACCAATCGCAGATCACCCTTATTCCCAACACGAAGCACTGATCACCCTTATTCCCAACACTCAAGCACTGATCACCCTTATTCCCAACACCCAAGCACTGATCACCCTTATTCCCAACACCCAGTTACTGATCTCCATTATTCCCATCACCCAATCACTGAACACCATTATTCCCAAGACCCAATCACTGTGTTTATCTCACAGGCACACTTGTCGTCAGAAAAACATCACATTTACATTTACAACATTTACCACAGACTCTTATCCAGAGTGGCTTACAGATGCTAGTTCACTAGGTCAGGGACTAAGAGTACCATCAGTCTAAAAACCCTTTTGGGAAGATTCATACAGTATGAAAACAAAACAAAAAACAAGGATGATTAAAAAAAGAGATCAACAAAGTGCTAATTCAAGTCTTTAGTCTTCTTCACATCCTCATCTTCTCTGTAAAGTGTTTTGCATTCCCTGAGTCAGCAATGCTGGTCACATATCAGAAGAAGCCTTTATTTGTCACATATACATTATAGCACAGTGAAATTCCTTTCTTCAGATATCCCAGCTGGTTAGGGAGTTGGAGTCAGAGCACAAGATTGTGATACAGCGCCCCTGTAGAGGGGGTTAAGGACCTTGCTCAAGGGCCCAACAGCTTGGTGGTGTTGGGGCTTGAACCCAGGACCTTCTGATCAGGAACCCAGAGCCTTAACCACTGAGCTACCACTTCCCCATCATGTATAAAGATCAACTGAAGAAAAAGTTGGCTCAGTTTTCAGCTAACTGATGGAATGAAAACTCTGTGTGTTAAAGGTGAATGTGATTTTGGCTGACTCGAAGCAGTTCTCCATGCTAAAGTGTAAGAACTGCAGTCACACACGCTGTCTGTGTGCTGACGAGAGCTGGACTGTCTCCTGGACCATCACACCACTGGTTCTGGGTACGTCAGTCTTTTAAACTTAAAGGTCATGAAAAATGCTGGAACAGGAAGTTCTTACAGCTCTGCAAGGATACAGATAATTACAACAGAAATAAGCTTTAAGGAATGTAGATTTATTTTTAAAATATTGTAATTTAAGCACATTTAGCAATGCATAATTTTTATTTAATAGACAAACAATTCTATATATATAGTAAATGTGTGTGATTTCAAACTGTAATGTGAATGTCACCTCGGTTGTCTCCATATGTCTAACTTCCATCATATTAAACACAAATTATACACTGCATGATGAAAGAAAATTGAACACAGGCATGTTAGTTGACATAAAATAACACAATTTTCTTCTCTCTTTATTACAAAATTAAAAACAATCACAACCACAATGTTCAGTTTTTCTGTAAAACACATTGGAGCTCAGTGTTGACTTCTGCAGAATTAAGAAAAGCGATGATTTCTTGCTGTGTGTTATAGGGAAGGTTACAATCAATGTGACGGCGGCGGCTGTAAGGTCGTCGATTCGGTGTGGGAAGAGTGCGGTTTTTGTACCACAGAAAGGACGCATTGACACAGTCATTAAAACACTGCTAGTGCAGGTGATTACATGATTATTTCTAATAATAATAATAATAATAATAATAATAATGATAATAATTTAGTTTAATTCTGGGCTTCTCACACATTTTGCAGGTAAGGAGCACTCACAGGACACATAAGGCTCAAGTTGACGTTATTTGTACATTCACTGATTTTGGAGTTATTAATGGCACATCGTTGAATGTGCGGCTCTGGGTCTGTGCTTGGCCCCTGAAAACACTGCTTCCAGCTTTAATTGTGATTATAATTGTATTTTTATTCTGCTGCCATTTTCAGGCTGAAGGAACTAAACAGTATAAAAGCTACAATGAGCTTCTCTGCCTATCAGGTCAGACACACACACTATTCTTTAATTTATTTTGTTGTAAGATATAAATATATAATTCATACTGTCATTTGTGAATTGTTCACTGATAGCACTTTTAATGTACTATACTGTATATAATGCAATAAATTACATATTAAAAACAGATAAAGAGAAATTAAATACAGATCTTATACTTTACAGTGCAGAATGTGTTTTGTACAAAAAGCTTTTTCTAAATTATTCTTGACATTTGATTATCAGTCCATTCTGTTGCATTTGGGCTGAAACAGAAATTTAGAGAAAGGTGGATCTCCTGGAACAGGTTTCATGGACTTTGCTAGAGCAGGGATCCTTAATTCCAGTCTTGAAGTGTCAGTCTAGTACAGTTTGTGAATTCACTGCTCAAAAATAACTGAATCAGGTGACATTAGGGACCACTGCTCAGGTCGAGGCGTGCAACTAAATGTTTAAATGCATAGAGGTACATGACATTTATCAAAAAAGTTAGACCAGATGTAATCCAGACATAGAGCTGAGACATTAGGTGTCTTGTTCAGGGATCCACTTTGTCCTCTGTAGTTTGTATGACATGTTCTCTCTGTTTTCTGTCTTTTAGAAGGTGCAGTTCAGAAGACAGTCTCACTAACACTGCCCAAGATAATCGTGGAAGGTTCAGAGACGGCTTCCATCTCTGTGGTGGGTGAGTTGAAAATCTGTTTCTATTTCACCAGTTTGTCCAGTTTTGGTAAATGTATGGCATTAAAACAAGTTTATAAATCAGGCAAATAATGTGTTAAGATGATATTCCGATAGATGTCTTTTTAAAAACACTGAAACAGCTAAAAATATGAATGAAAAGAATAAAACTTGACCTTTTTACTTTGTTTGTCCATGCCCTTGATCAAGCTGTGCACAATATGTCATTATCACTCACTTAGAGGACAGTTATTCACTCAAAACGCAACATTGTGATTTTTTTTGACTTTGTATAATTAGAAATGGTTCTAGCTTTGAACATAGAACCTTCATTGAAAAGGAAAGAAGAAAGAACCCTTGACCTTTTTTCGTAAAATTGCATGGCAAGCACAATTGAGTAAAACACAGAGTTAGCTTGTGCTCGTTTTGTAACACCCACTTTTCACAATCCAGTTGAATGAAAAAGAAAAATTATCATGCTTTTTATAACGTTTTCTCTGCAGGAGATCTGATGGGCCGAGCTCTAAAGAACCTGGCGAGTCTCCTGGTAATGCCGTATGGCTGTGGAGAGCAGAACATGCTGCGCTTTGCTCCCAACATCTTCATCCTGGAGTACCTGGAGAGCACCAACCAGCTCACACCTGTGATCAGGAGCACAGCTGAGACCTACCTCGTGAGCGGTGAGGACTCTTTACAAGATACAACATCTCTGTAGACTCGAAGATTATGGCAAGTGCACAAAATGGAAGATGAAGCAATTCATAATTCATTCAGTGCAAAAGCCTCAGCTGTTTATCAGTGAAGAAACGGTATGGCCAATTGTAGGGGTGTGCATCAGTGACATGTCTTGGTAACATATTTTAGTATTTTAGTGATAACTATTAAAATTATTTAGTATGTACAGTATATCAAAATGATGTCTGTACTTTCTTTCTTTATGGGGCTTAAAGTCTTAATCAGTGAAGCCAGTGCTCCCCAAAAACCCCCTCCCTTTCTTCCCAGGTGTTTAGCGACTTTGTAGAGACATAACTAGTAGTTGGGAATTGGCAATAACTAGATTTGGATAAAAGTAAGTTAAAAAAATAGCACAACACTGTGTCTGTCTCCTGCACAGGATATCAGACAGAGCTGAGCTACAAACACATTGATGGCTCTTACAGTGCTTTTGGGATGAACGATGCATCAGGAAACACATGGTGAGTTTCAGAGAAAACAGACGAATTTGAAAGTTGAACATCTCAAACGCTGAAATATGGGTATTGTTTTTATTAAAATGTAGAAAAAAGCTGTCAGACATTCAGTAGGAAATGTAGAAAACAAAAAAATAACAAAATAAGCAAGGTTTTGACTCAAAATATTATCTGAAGAAAACAGCTAAACATGCGCAGTGCAGTAATTAATGCTTACTGTGCATTATTTAATAATTACATTAATAGAATTAATAATTTATGATAAGGAATTAGTGTTCATTACTAGTGAACCATGACCATAAATAAGTTGACAATGAAAAATATGAACTAATGGGTTAAATAATATGTTCTTGGTTGTGCCGTTCTTACAGTTAACCAGTTACCAGCTCATTATCTTAATTTTATTGCATTTCATTTATTTTGTATGGACTTATTTTAATCATGGATACTGTAATTTAGTGTATCAACGTCAGAACATTAGAAGTTATTCATTGTTTACTTTAAAAGCTATAGAGAACTTTATTCTCATTTGCACATTTTATAAAAGTTTTATGACTATGAATAACGTTTTATTTGTCAACACTTTTATTTGACAACCAAAACAAAACAAAAAAAGATTCCTGCTATGTTTTTGACCTTTCAAATAAAGATTGTGATTCTGATTTCATAGTACTGAAATCTGTTGTGTTTGTGTTCTCAGGCTGACAGCATTCGTGATGAAGTCTTTTGGAAAAGCAAAGCGATACATCTTTGTAGATCAGGTGTTTGTGGATCAGGCGAAGGCCTGGCTCGGTCAACAGCAGCAGGCTAACGGATGCTTTGCCTCAGTGGGACAACTCTTCCACACCGACATGAAGGTCAGGAGACCAGTCTGAGTCCAATACCACGTGCTGTTAGAGGAAAATAATCAAAGACAAAGTGGTGTGATGAAGCGCAGTTAAAAACATCAACTTATTAGAACGAGTGCATTAATATAAACCTGAGATTTGCAGCTGCACTACTGCCTGAGCTGCTCGCATATAAAATTAATCAACACCATCCGACCAATCAGAATCCAGAATTCATCGGGACTGTGGTGTACACAAATCTAACTCTTGTTGTGAAGTATTATAGAGTATCTGTAATATCTCTCTCTCAGGGAGGAGTGAATGATGAGGTGACCCTCTCAGCGTACATCACAGCTGCAATGCTGGAGCTCAATTACACGATTACAGTGAGTAAACTGTTTCACTGAAAAAATTCTCCTTCACTCAAAGTCACTGAACTTTGGGTAATTGCAGATGGTACAGTGGTGAAGATACAATGATAAACATACACTACAATGAGTATGGGAGCAAGCAGTGATTTTAAAATGAATATAAAAATATTTTACAAGGGAGTCAGGTTTTCTATTGCTACTTTTCTTAATATTTATTAATGCCTTAAGTCTTAAAATTACCTTGAGACACAGTTGAAGATTCAAGTCCTCATTGTTTGAGAATAGAAACAACATGTAAAGAAACTGACAACATAGATATCTTTATTTTTATGTAAATTATGACCGTACAAATACATCTGTTTGTCTTTGACTGATGGATCATGATACTGTTAGATCACAGAATTATCACTGCTGACATTCACTGGGAACTTTTGTTGCTTTATAGATGAAATGGTTTTCATCTATAAATGGTAGCATGTTGGCTGGTGTGTCCCAGCCTCCAACCACTTTATAAAACAACACTAAGATAAAATCAGAATCTAACATTAGATACATTTGTTAATCTACATATTGCAGGATCCTGTGGTAAACAACAGTCTTACGTGCCTGAGGAATGCGTACACTCAGGTGAACTCCACCTACACCAAGGCTCTCCTCTTCTACACCTTCACTCTAGCTGGAGATCAGGGGATGAGGAACACACTCATCTCAGAGCTGGATTCAAAGGCTATAATCTCAGGTTTGATGCTCCTACATCTATTTATTAAAAAACACTAATCTCTCAGAGAAAATTGACTGCATTC